CCCTTCCCCAAGCCCACTAAAGCCTTCCCACTTTCTCCAAATACTTCCCCAAGCCCACTAAAGCCTTCCCACTTTCTCCAAATACTTCCCCAAGCCCACTAAAGCCTTCCCCTTTCTCCAAACCCTTCCCCAAGCCCTCTAAAACCTTCCCCAAGCCCTCTAAAACCTTCCCCCTTTCTTCAAACCCTTTACCAAGCCATTCAAATGCCTTTCAATACTTTCTAAACACTCCCCAAAGCCCTCCAAACCTTTCCCATGCTTTCCCGATGTCTCGGTGACGGTGGTGATGTTAATTAAAGTTTTAATCGGGTCTCTGTTATTGTGCGCCTATTTCACGCGGTGAACACTGACCATTCAGGTGAGACATGGTCAAAAGTTCGGAGAGATTATACTCCCGGACGTCTCGTACTTCAGGACATACTAGGATAAAAATATTTCTGAGTCAACACTGAGTTCGGTGGCGCACTTTACACAAGTGAACGACGCTTGTTCAGAAGTGGGAGGTAGTGTGACTGTGGCAGCGTGACAATATAAGGTAGTGTGACTGTGGCAGCGTGACAATATATAAGGTAGTGTGACTGGCAGCGTGACAATATAAGGTAGTGTGACTGGCAGCGTGACAATATAAGGTAGTGTGACTGTGGCAGCGTGACAATATATAAGGTAGTGTGACTGGCAGCGTGACAATATAAGGTAGTGTGACTGGCAGCGTGACAATATAAGGTAGTGTGACTGTGGCAGCGTGACAATATATAAGGTAGTGTGACTGTGGCAGCGTGACAATATAAGGTAGTGTGACTGGCAGCGTGACAATATAAGGTAGTGTGACTGTGGCAGCGTGACAATATAAGGTAGTGTGACTGTGGCAGCGTGACAATATATAAGGTAGTGTGACTGTGGCAGCGTGACAATATACGGTAGTGTGACTGTGACAGAGGGTAAGCAAATGACAGTATGAGTGATCAGTAACTAGCGTGGTTAAGACTGTCCCACACATCACAGCGCCTACCGTACCCTAACCAGCACTATGGTAAAATACTCTACAAACATCGCTACTGAAATAAAACAACAAACTACAATGATCGAATCCCCTTTCTTCAACTGGTACGGCAACTTCAATTTGTTCCTTCATAACACTACACTTGAGAACTATCCTCTAAGAATATTAAGAGTCTCTCATGCCATATTCTTACGTGTAATGTTCCTTACCATCAGAGCTACTCCATAGGGAACTAAATATAAGAATACAGGAGGGTTGAGCAACTGAAACACGGCTATCAATACCCGTAGAGTTTCAACGGTCGCCAGTGTGACAATTATGTTTTTTGGTACACCCCAGGGTGGAGTGCTAAGTCCCACGCTGTTCAATGTTCTGATGCACAAATTAACAATTGATATTCCCACACTACCTGACGAAGCCGTCATTTGTTATGCCGATGATATATGCATTGTTGCAAATTCCCAAACTAGACTGCAAGCTCTACTTGATTCATTCGCTGCTAAAAGCATTGAATGTGGTCTTGTTATCTCTATAACTAAATCCAGAGTTCTCCATCCCAAAGAGAAAACTCATGTCCCTATAGCTTTCAAGGTCAACAACCAGAACATTGAAACGTGTGGGCAGCACAAATACCTTGGAGTTGGTATTAACAGTGACATTGTAAATGATCTACACCGTAGGTTAAAAGAAAGACTAAAACCATTGAGAACACTTACTGGTAAGAATATTGGTATCAATATTAAATATGCTAGACTATTCTATATGATGTTTGTTAGATCTCTCGTTGATTATAATGCTCTGCACTTAATTAATTTCCCCTCCTCTGTGTTGGACAAACTTGAAGTAATACAGAACGAGGCCATGAGGATAATTCTTGGTGCCCCAAGATGCACAAGAATCATCAACATGAGGGAAGAACTGAAGTTTCCAACCATACTAGAGAGAATAATGCAAGTTAACACTACCTTCTGTCTTAAAGTCATGAGAGATCCTACATCTCCTGCATTGCTCAGAGACAAATTATTTAGTGCTGTTAACACCCTTTTGACTGGTGCCGACATACCAACTCACTCCTTTTATGATAATTGGCTGAGAAACAATGCTTACAATCTCATTAAACTTAACATTCCTTTTAAGTGCAATCTACCAGTCTCTGATATTCCTCTTTATCTGTACCCCACCATTCAAGTATCATACACACCTGTCACCAAGAAAGATAATGAGAATCTTGCTCTACTCAAAGCTGTCACTCTTGAAACAATTGCCTCCTCCATCGAGAGTCTAAGATCTCACGAGCACTGTGTCTACACCGACGGCTCAGTCCAGTCTTCTACTGGACGGACTGCAGCGGCATGTAGGTTCTATAGAAATAATATTTGCACAAAGTCTGTCAGTGTCAGGCTAAACAACTGGCTGACCTCCACACAAGCAGAACTAGCAGCATTACATTTAGCAACCAGCACATTAAAAAATATTGGAGGAGGAATAATATTCTGTGATTCAAAGTCTGCTCTTCAAGCAATCGAAAACTTCTCTTGGAAGATCGACAGCAAGAACCTCATACTCCCAATTATAAATGACCTAATTGATGCACAGAGTAAAGGGTCTCGAATTTCCTTTGTATGGATACCTTCACACATAAATATAACCCATCATAATGAGACAGACATTGCAGCCAAATTAGCGTGTAACAAGTTTGAAGTTGAATTAGATCTAGGTATCCCTATCTCTGCTGTCAAAACTGTATTGGTCCAAACATTCAGATCTGATAGGAAAGAACTTACTGACTCCCAACGACCTGAAAGTACTAGTATAAAAAGCTATGATTTGTTCAGATCTGAAACCTACATCTATGGACAGCACAAAACGTCCACTAGACTGTGCGACACAGTGGTTGCAAGGATCAGGTTGGGTTACCGTTACCTGTGGCAGGTGGCTGCAGGTGACGGGTCTCCCAGTCCTGAGCACTCCAGTTGCAAACTCTGTGAGCAGGAACTACGGCATGATCTCCCGCACTACATCACTGAATGCCCAATTATTAGACCTTTCAGACCAGTTGGCATGAGGTACCTGGAGCTTTGCAATTACTTTATTCACTCTCGTATTCTTGAAGATATCCTCACAGTATACCCAAAATTTGCCAGTGCAGGCTATTAAACACATGACTCTGTATGACTAACCATCCTGCGAGATGGGGACTTGTATTACCACTGCTACCTTATTCAATCTTGTGTTGTTGATATCCTCAAAATGCATCCGGAGTCTGCCAGTGCAGACCGCTAATCACATGCCTCTGTATGACTAACCATCCTGTGTGATGGGGATTTTATAGCATCACCTAGTTAGCTTTTTTGACACACTGTACTCCACTTCATATAGTCTAGGGTAGCTGCACTAATGCAGATGTACCTAATATGTTAATAAAAAAAAAAAAAAAAAAAAAACAATTATGTTTGCCAATTTCTAGGCACTTGATGTATGGCAGCTGCCATAGCTGGTCCATGTCAACACATTACTTGTGATAAGAGTGGTGTAGGGAGGTGGTACACGCACTCTCACGCACGCACACGCACGCACACACACATATGTACATGCATAAAAGGCACTCGTCATTTTCCATTGTGTAGTGTTTTAGTCTATTTTTCGCTCTTGTGGCCCTCGTAGCAATCAATATTCTTACTGAGGACAATAACATACTAAATAATAGAGAAACGGAGAGAGAGAGAGAGAGAGAGAGAGAGAGAGAGAGAGAGAGAGAGAGAGAGAGAGAGAGAGAGAGAGAGAGAGAGAGAGAGAGAGAGAGAGAGAGAGAGAGAGAGAGAGAGAGAGAGAGAGAGAGAGGAGAGAGAGAGAGAGAGAGAGAGAGAGAGAGAGAGAGAGAGAGAGAGAGAGAGAGAGAGAGAGAGAGAGAGAGAGAGAGAGAGAGAGAGAGACAAGACAAGAAGAAAGGGGCAAACTCACTCTGAGCAAATTAAGCTATTCAGCATGAACTAACTGCAGGGAGAATGGCAGTGTCTTCACCGACGTTCCCAGATCAATGCCAGCAGCTGTAGCATGCACAGAAAACACTGTTATTATCCTTGCTGAAAGCCCCACTTCACACCCCGCACCCTGTAATGACACTCTGCTATGTCTGACCCCTCCACCTCGACCCCTGAACCCCCCGACCCCAGCTCCCCTGACCCCAGAAGTTGTGAATACTTTATATCTGGTTTTTGTGTGTTACAATTGCGGGGAAGTTTTCACCTGGATTAAGGGAAACACGCTCATACTGGATTACTTGTGCTTGACGTGTCTCAGATTCTATAAAAAGATTTAATGGATAGCTTGATGGATTAGTGTGTGTCCGCACGCATGCATACATGCATACACACACACACACAATCGTGCATACACACCTGCAAGAGTAAAGTATAGAGGAAGATCTTGGTCTCCTCCTGCAGCTCGTCCTCCAAAAATGGGGAGTAAATATAACAGCACAAGTAAGTGCAATTATGTACTATTCATAACAGTCAGGAATTGCACTTATTTTCACTTAGTATTAAACCGTACTGTCAAATATATTGTGAATATTTTAGTTTACCTGAAAAGTTGAATAGAAAACCACGACCTCACCTAACCGTCTTAGTGTTTGAAGATAAGCATTTTATTGCTCCTTAATTACAATTAGTACTTAACCTATAGCTATATTGATATTACAGTTTTATAAAACTAATAAAACAAAACTAAAATATGTCAATAAATTGTAAAGTGACTCAGGATATTTTCCAATTTTGTATAAAACCTCTATTGTTTAATATAACTGGAAAAAAAATTCCTGATATTTAAAACTTGTGTATAGCGAACTGTACTTGAAAACTTCATCCTAAACTTCTGAGTGTCTTAACAGAAAACGAGGAGAATAAATGGGAGGTAAATGTAACAGCCTCATAAGTCCAATTATGTACTATGTATGGCAGTCAGGAAATGTACTTATTACACTTAGTATTAAACCGTACTGTCAATTCGGAGGATGTGTCTCCTCCTGTTGGGGGCCTCGGTCTCTTCCTGTTGGGGCCTCGGTCTCCTCCTGTTGGGCCTTCGGTCTCCTCCTGTTGGGGGCTCGGTCTCCTACTGTTGGGCCCTCGGTCTCCTCCTGTTGGGGGCCCTCGGTCTCCTCCTGTTGGGGCCTCCGTCTCCTCCTGTTGGGGGTCTCGGTCTCCTCCTGTTGGGGGCCTGGGTCTCCTCCTGATGGGCCCTCGGTCTCCTCCTCTTGGGGCCACTGTCTTCTGTTAGGGGCCTCGGTCTCCTCCTGTTGGGGCCTGGGTCTCCTGTTGGAGCCTCGGTCTCCTCCTGTTGGGCTCTCGGTCTCCTCCTGTTGGGGGCCTCGGTCTCCTCCTGTTGGGGGCCTCGGTCTCCTCCTGTTGGGCCCTCGGTCTCCTCCTGTTGGGGCCTGGGTCTCCTGTTGGAGCCTCAGTCTCCTCCTGTTGGGCTCTCGGTCTCCTCCTGGGAGTATGGCGGGACCAGCTCCCACCGGCCGTATAAATAACGGAACACATAAACACTACAACTTTAGATAGACAAAAATGATTCAACTTTTTACACTTTCCACAAATGTCAACAAAGGTATTTGCCGTGATTCTCCTCGTTACCTCCACAGCCCAACACGTGTCCCTATAACAGGTGTCACAAGTAATACACACCGACACTGTCACCTCCCTATAATCCTTACGAGGCAGTTGTAACAATCCTCTATAACCTCTGACCCATAATGAGTTATGCGTCATTTATGGAAGTTACTGCAATCCACACAGGGAAATAGGAGATACAGAAGAAAAAATCAACAACACACACACAACAACACTGTGTTGCATGAGTCAGGTCATCCACAACACACACACAACAACACTGTGTTGCATGAGTCAGGTCACCCACAACACACACACAACAACACTGTGTTGCATGAGTCAGGTCACCCACAACACACACACAACACCAGCAACAACACTGTGTTGCATGAGTCAGGTCACCCACAACACACACACAACACCAGCAACAACACTGTGTTGCATGAGTCAGGTCACCCACAACACACACACAACACCAGCAACAACACTGTGTTGTATGAGTCAGGTCACCCACAACACACACACAACACCAGCAACAACACTGTGTTGCATGAGTCAGGTCACCCACAACACACACACAACACCAGCAACAACACTGTGTTGCATGAGTCAGGTCACCCACAACACACACACAACAACACCAACAACACTGTGTTGCATGAGTCAGGTCACCCACAATACACACACAACACCAGCAACAACAACAGTGTTGTATGAGTCAGGTCACCCACAACACACACACAACACCAGCAACAACACTGTGTTGCATGAGTCAGGTCACCCACAACACACACACAACACCAGCAACAACACTGTGTTGCATGAGTCAGGTCACCCACAACACACACACAACACCAGCAACAACACTGTGTTGTATGAGTCAGGTCACCCACAACACACACACAACACCAGCAACAACACTGTGTTGTATGAGTCAGGTCACCCACAACACACACACAACACCAGCAACAACACTGTGTTGCATGAGTCAGGTCACCCACAACACACACACAACACCAGCAACAACACTGTGTTGCATGAGTCAGGTCACCCACAACACACACACAACAACACCAACAACACTGTGTTGCATGAGTCAGGTCACCCACAACACACACACAACACCAGCAACAACACTGTGTTGCATGAGTCAGGTCACCCACAACACACACACAACACCAGCAACAACACTGTGTTGCATGAGTCAGGTCACCCACAACACACACACAACACCAGCAACAACACTGTGTTGCATGAGTCAGGTCGAGAACTGACAAGGAAGACAGCCAGTAGCGCGACAATTAATATTAAGTCTTCTAATTTGATGGACTACTCACTTGGACAGTATTGGTAAAGGTCGCTTGACGCTAAGGTTAGGATACAATGTTGTTGTACTGGTGGTGTGTTGATGGTGGTGATGATGGTGGTGGTGTGGTGATGGTGGTGATGGTGGTGATGATGGTGGTGGTGTGGTGATGGTGGTGATGGTGGTGGTGGTGTGGTGATGGTGGTGATGATGGTGGTGGTGTGGTGATGGTTGTGATGATGGTGGTGGTGTGTTGATGGTGGTGATGATTGTGGTGATGATGGTGGTGGTGTGGTGACGGTGGTGATGATGGTGGTGGTGTGGTGATGGTGGTGATGATGGTGGTGGTGTGGTGATGGTGGTGATGATGGTGGTGGTGTGTTGATGGTGGTGATGATGGTGGTGGTGTGGTGATAATGGTGATGATGGTGGTGGTGTGGTGATGGTGGTGATGATGGTGGTGGTGTGTTGATGGTGGTGATGATGGTGATGATGGTGGTAGTGTGTTGATGGTGGTGATGATTGTGGTGGTGTGTTGATGGTGGTGATGATTGTGGTGGTGTGTTGATGGTGGTGGTGTGTTGATGGTGGTGATGATGGTGGTGGTGTGGTGATGGTGGTGATGATTGGTGGTGGTGTGTTGATGGTGGTGATGATGGTGGTGGTGTGTTGATGGTGGTGATGATAGTGGTGGTGTGTTGATGGTGGTGATGATTGTGGTGGTGTGTTGATGGTGGTGATGATTGTGGTGGTGTGGTGATGGTGGTGATGATGGTGGTGGTGTGTTGATGGTGGTGGTGTGTTGATGGTGGTGATGATGGTGGTGGTGTGTTGATGGTGGTGATGATTGTGGTGGTGTGTTGATGGTGATGATGGTGGTGGTGTGTTGATAGTGGTGGTGTGTTGATGGTGGTGATGATTGTGGTGGTGTGTTGATGGTGGTGATGATTGTGGTGGTGTGTTGATGGTGGTGATGATTGTGGTGGTGGGTTGATGATTGTGGTGGTGGGTTGATGGTGGTGGTGTGTTGATGGTGGTGATGATGGCGGTGGTGTGTTGATGGTGGTGGTGTGTTGATGGTGGTGATGATTGTGGTGGTGAGTTGATGGTGATGATGGTGGTGGTGTGTTGATAGTGGTGGTGTGTTGATGGTGGTGATGATTGTGGTGGTGGGTTGATGATTGTGGTGGTGTGTTGATGGTGGTGGTGTGTTGATGGTGGTGATGATGGTGGTGGTGGGTTGATGGTGGTGATGATTGTGGTGGTGTGTTGATGGTGGTGGTGTGTTGATGGTGGTGAAAGATGGTGGTGGTGGGTTGATGGTGGTGATGATTGTGGTGGTGTGTTGATGGTGGTGATGATTGTGGTGGTGTGTTGATGGTGGTGGTGTGGGTGATGGTGGTGGTGGATGGTGGTGGTGGGTGATGGTGGTGATGATTGTGGTGGTGTGTTGATGGTGGTGATGATTGGGGTGGTGTGTTGATGGTGGTGATGATGGTGGTGGTGTGTTGATGGTGGTGGTGTGTTGATGATTGTGGTGGTGTGTTGATGGTGGTGGTGTCTTGATGGTGGTGATGATTGTGGTGGTGTTGATGGTGGTGATGATTGTGGTGGTGTGTTGATGGTGGTGATGATTGTGGAAGTGTGTTGATGGTGATGATTGTGGTGGTGTTGATGGTGGTGATGATTGTGGTGGTGTTGATGATTGTGATGATGTGTTGATGGTGGTGATGATTGTGGTGGTGTGTTGATGGTGGTGATGATTGTGGTGGTGTGGTGATTGTGGTGGTGTGTTGATGGTGGTGATGACTGTGGTAGTGTGTTGATGGTGGTGATGATTGTGGTGGTGTGTTGATGGTGGTGATGATTGTGGTGGTGTGTTGATGGTGGTGATGATTGTGGTGGTGTGTTGATGGTGGTGATTGTGGTGGTGTGTTGACGGTGGTGATGATTGTGGTGGTGTGTTGATGGTGGTGATTGTGGTGGTGTGTTGACGGTGGTGATTGTGGTGGTGTGTTGATGATTGTGGTGGTGTGTTGATGGTGGTGATGATTGTGGTGGTGTGTTGACGGTGGTGATGATTGTGGTGGTGTGTTGATGGTGATGATTGTGGTGGTGTGTTGATGGTGGTGATGATTGTGGTGGTGTGTTGATGATTGTGGTGGTGTGTTGATATTGGTGATGATTGTGGTGGTGTGTTGATGGTGGTGATGATTGTGGTGGTGTGTTGATGGTGGTGATGATTGTGGTGGTGTGTTGATGGTGTTGATGATTGTAGTGGTGTGATGATTGTGGTGGTGTGTTGATACTGGTGATGATTGTGGTGGTGTGTTGATGGTGGTGATGATTGTGGTGGTGTGTTGATGGTGGTGGTGTGTTGATGGTGTTGATGATTGTAGTGGTGTGTTGATGATTGTGGTGGTGTGTTGATGGTGGTGATGTGTTGATGGTGTTGATGATTGTGGTGGTGTGTTGATGGTGATGATTGTGGTGGTGTGTTGATGGTGGTGATGATTGTGGTGATGTGTTGATGGTGGTGGTGTGTTGATGGTGGTGATGATTGTGGTGTGTTGATGATTGTGGTGGTGTGTTGATGGTGATGATTGTGGTGGTGTGTTGATGGTGTTGATGATTGTGGTGGTGTGTTGATGGTGGTGATGATTGTGGTGGTGTGGTGATGGTGGTGATGATTGTGGTTGTGTGTTGATGGTGGTGATGATTGTGGTAGTGTGTTGATGATTGTGGTAGTGATTGTGGTGGTGTGTTGATGGTGGTGATGATGGTGGTGGTGTGTTGATGGTGGTGATGATTGTGGTGGTGTGTTGATGGTGGTGATGATTGTGGTGGTGGGTTGGTGTTGTTGATGATTGTGGTGGTGTGTTGATGGTGGTGATGATTGTGGTGGTGTGTTGATGGTGGTGATGATTGTGGTGGTGTGTTGATGGTGGTGATGATGATTGTGGTGGTGTGTTGATGGTGGTGATGATTGTGGTGGTGTGTTGATGGTGGTGATGATTGTGGTGGTGTGTTGATGGTGGTGATGATTGTGGTGGTGTGTTGATGGTGGTGATGATTGTGGTGGTGTGTTGATGGTGGTGATGATTGTGGTGGTGTGTTGATGGTGGTGATGATTGTGGTGGTGTGTTGATGGTGGTGATGATTGTGGTGGTGTGTTGATGGTGGTGATGATTGTGGTGGTGTGTTGATGGTGGTGATGATTGTGGTGGTGTGTTGATGGTGATGATTGTGGTTGGGTGTTGATGATTGTGGTGGTGTGTTGATGGTGGTGATGATTGTGTTGGTGTGTTGATGGTGGTGATGTGATGATGGTGGTGATGATTGTGGTGGTGTGTTGATGGAGGTGATAATTGTGGTGGTGTGTTGATGGTGATGATTGTGGTGGTGTGTTGATGGTGGTGATGATTGTGGTGGTGTGTTGAAGGTGTTGATGATGGTGGTGATGGTGTTATTAAGACTGTTGATGATTGTGGTTGTGATGATGATAGTGATGGCGGTATTATGATGATGATGATATTGATAGCGTTAAGATGATTGTGGTGATGATAATGATAGTGATGTTGGTGATATTAGGATGATAGTTGTGGTAGTAGTGATTGTGAGGATGGTAATGATGGTTTTAGAATGATGGTGGTGATGGTGACAGCTGTGAAAGTAGTGATAGTGATTGCTGGTGAAGAGTAATTTTAGGTAGTTGGGTGGGGTGGTGGTTGTTGTATTCACCTAGTTGTGCTTGCGAGGGGGGGTTGAGATTTAGCTCTTTGGTCCCGCCTCTCAGCTGTCAGCAGTAGTAGTGGTGATAGCACCGATGGTACTCA